TGTGACCCCCTTGGTAACATGTATGGAAAAGATGACAAATTAAGAACAATACTTGGGGGAGGGGACAAAGTCTCCTAGAAGAATTTTTTTTTATACAATATAATTCAATCAGAATAAACATATTCTTGTTCTGTAAAAAAATATTTATAGTTTAGAGCAAAATGTTTTAATGCATGCCATTTCATAATGGTAAATATACATGATGAATTGCAAGGCTTTGAAATTTCAATTAATTGTTTTTTAAAATAGTGTCACAACAGCTATTTCCAGGGCAGTAAAAATTTTTTATAAGGTTCCAAATAGCTATTTCTGCATTTTGTTTCTCTTGGTGCAGTCTAACAATTCTCATGACCTTCACAGATTAAGCTCTTATGTGTATTCTGCAAACAGACTATTAGAAAATAACCCTTCCTTTCACGGTATCTTAAAGTTTTGAATAGTGTCCACCAGCAGCGTCTGAGCTCCTTGCCAGGGCTCCTGAACCCTCACTCCTTTCCCAGCTCAGCAGAGTGAGTGGAGAGGCTCTAAGGTAGCCACATCCTGAATTACACCAAGAGGAGAGTCAAGATTTTGTATTTCTTACTAAATACTAAATAGTAAGAAATGGGAAGTAAAGGGATGGGAAGTAAAATAAACTTGAGAGTGGACTTTATACTACCAGAGACTACTGGCATCTCAATATTTATGTAAAGTGCATTTGCTCTATTTGAATATAGTCAATTCTACTAGAGGAGACTGGTTAGTAGCTTCTGAAATATGGGCAAAACTCACCAGCTGTACTAACTATAGATAATAAACAATGAAACAGCTTTGGGGAGACAGGCAGAATTCTGAAGATATAGTAAATATAGTCACTAAGTAACTTGTAAGATAGACAGAAAAATAGAAAATATGATAGAACAAGTGAATATTACTTATTAAAAGGGAAGCCAACGGGATGGGAAGCCATGACCATGTCACTTCTGGGCTGACAGCTGTAAGTAACTTGTAAGATAGACAGAAAAATAGAAACTATGACAGAACAAGTGGATATTATTAAAAGGAAAGCCAACGGGATGGGAAGCCCAAGCCATGACCATGTCACGTCTGGGCTGACAGCTGTCACCTATGTGTTCTAGTCAAGAAATCAGGTCAAATCTATGCCTATTGGGTAGGCTAACTGGCACGTTTCCCTGGTGACCAGGAGCACTTGCCCCTGCACTGCGCCCGTAAAATAAGTTATGTGTTTCTGGCCCTTGGCACCCCTGCTCC